TAAACAAAAGGAACGACAGCAACAAATTGTCGGGGCAGGGCCAGGGGCAGGGCTAGGGGCAGGGGCAGGCATTGTAAATTGTGTTTATGTGGCACATTTAACTAAACAAAAAAGTTGCTCTTTGCGAAAACTTTTAATACAAATGCAACAAATTAATTAAAGCTGCCACAAAATGAATGAAAAGCAAATAGCATTTCACAGTGTTTGTTGCAGTTGCAGTTGTCTTTGTGGCAGCTGCAGTTGCTGTTAAATAATGCATGCACCACTTTATCTAAAATTAAGATTGATTGAAGTATACAAGTTTTATGTGCTACTTTTTCCCATTTCCGATCAATTTTTAGCAATGTGTTTGACAGATTGCTGAGCAATTGAAATGGGTTTTATTTAAACATGTTGAATGGGTTGGGAATTGCCATCAAAGGCTGGCAAATAGCTTCACAATCGCAAGCTTTTAAGAAATATATTATGTATAAATTGGAAGGCCTTGAAATTATTATTATTACATGTTTCTAAAAACTCACAATGGTATTCATTTTGCCAGGTCTTGAAAATATTATAATTACATTTTTTTTTAATCTCGCAATGATATTTCTCTGGCCAGGCATTCAAGTGCGTTGATCTATATGTTTCATTACATAATAATATATATTAACATTTACTTTTTTGAGTTAAATTAATTTTTAGTTAAAAAACAAGTTTCCTGGTACCAGATCGCAGCGCCATCTACCGGGCTCACATGCCAATACCTCGAATCCGGAACTAACATTTTTTTTCTTACCATTAATCGAATCTTAAGTCAAGCCCAAAAAAAAAAGCGAAACGAAAGCCTAACATTGAGAATTTTTTTACAAATATGTCAATTTTTGTAAGACTCAGCTCGGAAGCAAATATTATGTTGACCTTTGCAAGAATCTACACACATTTGATAGCTGCCAGTGTTGGGTAAAGATAAAATAAAGCGCACAGCTAGCATTTGAAATATTACCAGTATAAAAAACCTGCAGAATTTATATAAAATATCAAAGTTTAATCCAAAAACCGAACCTATAGGCAGGAAGCTGGTTCAAACCCTTAGCCGAACCAGTGACAATTTCATTTGCATTTCCATATAATATATAAAAACTTGGCTTGTCGAAAATGCTCAGCTTGTCTTCAATCTAAGTTGATCTTTTTTTTTATCAGGCGTTTCTGTGCGAAACTTTTTGCTAAAATCGTTCGAAAATTGAATTCTCAACGAATAAATAGAGAGAAATTCAGCTTCGACTGTTTTTGCCGCTGCCTTCCGGTGGCTGCCACAAGCAGGTGGGGGGGGCGGGGGCAGGTCGTCCTCACGCATAAATATGCATATGCTCCACAAACATTTGCCAAGTTGCAAGCAACCAACCCATCCAACCCCTCTCCACCAACCCCTCTCCCCTCCCTAGAACTTCAGCCGAAATTCATGCGAAAGCTGCTGACATTTGGAAATAAATGCAGCGTCAGCGAAATATTTCGCGTGCATACAAATCGCGACGCGGCGCGTTGCGTTGTGATAAATATACAAATTCCCGCGTTGCTGCCACAGTTAGACAACGTTTAATTGAGTCAACAGGCGGGGCAGGAGATGTGTGTGTGTGTGTGTGTGTGGAGGAGGAGGAGGAGGAGGAGTCATCAAATTAACGCTGGCAACGGGCACAGCTCGCAAGGCGAGCGCCGAGCACATTAAAAACTAATTTATGGATTTGCGAAAAGCCAAACTTGCGATGATTTATGCATGTAAAGCAACCAACCCAAAGGCAGCCCGAAGCCAAACCCCAAAAATCCCAGACCCTTAGACCCAACCCAGCCCAAGCCCCTCTACTTACAGCACTTGGGTGTCCTGCGGCAGCTGGGGCAACACTTTGAGTCGGGCGCGAATGCAGCGCACGGTGCGCGCGAGGCACGTGCAGCCGGCGGGACAGTGCACCCACTGTCCGGCTGACAGCTGGACAAAGCTGGCCAGGCACAGGCAGAGCACAGTCAGCGGGCACAGCCAGCGCATCTTCGTCTGTTCTGGTCTGGGCACTGCTCAAAACTGTCGTTGGGCAAGCAATTAAAATTGCCGCAGCGATAAAAACGGGCGGGCGGAAGTGTGGCACGCAGCGGGCACGTCCAGTTGCACGATAGAGAAACCACTTAATTCTGGTCACTTATCTGGACGCGGACTAGCTACAGTCGCACTCTCAGTTTCACTTGATAAGTCGTATCGCAAATAGTTACTATTTCTTAAAAACTTGAAATTTTTTTGAATATTTCCGTTAGAAGTTGAACGTTGAATCGCGCGCCTTGCAACTGCACGCGCCAAATGCCGACGAGCATCTGAAACGGACAAATGAACCGATTCCGTTTTGCCAGAACCGAAACCGTTACCGAACCGAGCAGCTGGCAGAGGCAGCGGCAGAGCCAGCAGCAGCAGCAGCAGCCACGGCCGAGCAGCTGCAGCCGAACCCGATTTCTGGCAGCAGCTGCCGTCGCCGTCGCCGTCGCCGCCGCCGCCGGATGCAGTTTGTGATAACATTTTCCTGAGGCGCATAGCTCAAGAGTCTTTTGATTTGCTCATGTGATTCCAGCGTCTGTATGTGTGTGTGTGTGTTGGTGTGTGTTGTTTATGCGCTCCAAATAAGCTGATATGTAACTAAACACGTTTAACGGAGCTTTAGTCAAGGCCAACAGTAGCACTCGGAATGGAATCCTCCGCGATTAGAAAGGGCAGCTCGATGGCTACTCGATTTTTTCAAAATATGCACACTAGAGTGTGCTAATGGGGAGTGCCAGACTAGGAGATGCCCTGTAGTCAGCACAAAGAGATCGTTATGCGAATTCAACATGCTTTCTATGCATACATACAGAAAATTACACATACGCACACACACACAAGCACAAAAGAACAAAAGAACACACACACACACGAACTCGCAGCTTGGTTGTGCTTCTTCTTCCCTCAGCTACACCCTGTAGGAAATGCAGAAATGAATAGCTTTGCTGCTTAAATTCCGATCTACATGACATTCGTAGGGCCCAAATATAGCACCAAACTGTATGTAAATACCAAAGCTGAAGGCTCTATCTTTAAAAATACAATATATATCCAAAAAATGGAATATTCTTAAGCTGTGCAAACTATACAATCACCTGCATACCATGTTTGGTGTACTTAGCTCTTATAATCCTCGAGTTATGCCATAAAAACTAAATCTCAAAATCGATATTTATCGATATTGTGAAAAGGTAAGCAGATGTGTGGAATAATAAACTTGTTCTGAATATATACTTCAAATTCCCTGTCTCTAGCTTTTGTAGGTTCAGAGATCGTTCTTACAGACGGGGAGAACAACATGGTTAAGTCGACTCGACTTATCGTTCGGATCAGCAATATATATATATTATGAGGTCGTATATGTAGGTATACAAATGCATACATAAAAACATGATACTCATCTTACCCCCTTTTTCAATGCGCTTAGGGTATAGCAACAACATCAAACATGCAACCAATAAAGTAAAAACCAGTTGCTGCTGGACTAGAAGCTACCCTGTAACACAACATGCGCATAGACAGAGTCACGAAGTATTTATTCACGGTGTTTCAGGGTAAGTGAAGAATTTATTACTTGATCAATTTTATGGAGCATTAAATGTAAGATATCTAGCTTATATACCCCCAGCAGCTTTTTTAAGGGGTATACAAAAAATAGCATACGCCGCGTTGAACTTCCGAGTTGCTGCCAGTGCAGCCCATAAAATGTTTTGCGCTGCTCATTTTTAATGCAACGCAGAGAGGAGCAGAAAGGGAGACAAGGAGAGAGCGAGGGCGAGAGAGAGAGAAAAAGGGAGAGAAGGAGAGAGGGAGAGTGTAGTGTGTGCACTCCATTTGGGCCTGTCGAACTTGTCGCTTTGGTGATAAGACGCGGAATCAAATTTAAAAGCTATCAATTTGATATTAGTTGAGGGAAAAGCGCGTTGTGGGAACGCTTGTGAGATTTAAGCGCGTGCCAGGATGCAGCTGCAAGTCCTTTCTAGTTGTTGTTCTTATGCATATTTGTTGCTGTTCTTCTTGTTGCTGTTGTTGTTGTTGTTGTTTTGGCAACATATGAGCCCCAGCTTATAATGCTCTGAGTTTTCGTTTGCATTTTGTTTGCTGCTGGTTGCCGTTAAAGTTTTGAAATCAATTTACAGATGATTTATTATGTTGCGGGGCTGTGCGGCGGGGAGGGGGTCCTACTGAGTCCTACTGCCATTGCTGCATGCGACAACGGCGGACGTTGATGAATGCCGCTGTGTATTGTTGGGCTGTCAGTTTTGATCAAAATTCGTTTCGGGGCATCGAATTGCAGGTGAAGTGGAAAATTTGCAAGTTATGCGACAGCTTCATGTGCCCCCTTTCTATTTTTTCTCTGCTGTTGGCAGCACAGGCAGCAGATAGCGCGTCGGTGATTTGGCAGCGGAATTCAGCAAATTGACTGCACGGCAATGCGGGAGCCGCTGTGGGAATTGCTGCAGCTGACTGACTGAAAGCAATTGTGGGGCGAAAAAGCGCCTAGTGCAAAATTCTAATCAAATACCATCAAATTTGGCTATAAATATAAAATTACGAGAATATTCAACTACATATAGGAGCAATTTAAACCTAGCCTCTCCTGCAATGAATAATTCATACAATTCGGCTGCCATTTAAAAGACCCAACGACGCAAAGAAATCATAACTTTCAAAAAGTAACCGCTCGTTCATGATATCGCTCATTCACAATAGCAGCACTTCAAATTTGTTTCGCGCCCCCATTAAATCAAATATGGCGCTCATGCGCAATGCACAAACATCGTTTAAGTAACAGCTGATTGTCAATGGTGTTATCGATAGTACACAAAACGATAAATAAAATATTGAAGCATGAATATAAGTAAAATTCATAACAGAATTCTAGTAAATATAAAGAAAATTAAAGCAATATACTTAAACGGAAATAATAAGTGCACGAAATTAAGTTTTTGCCTTGTTTTGGAACAATTTGATGCTGATCAATGCGCGTTTTGCAACACTGCAGCAACAGCGGTCGACACTGACAATTGAACGGCGGCAATCAAAATAGAAAGAAAAACCAACTGGAAAGCATTAAAGAAGCAGGATTTTCTATACGTATGTGTTCTTTGCTATGTCCAAGCGCAACAATATAACCTACGTGAAGCCACAGGAACCCAGTTTTTTGGCCAAACTCAAGGCGGAAATCGGCTACAAGGAGGGCCCCACCGTCGATACAAAGGTAAGCTATTGCCGCTGCCGTTGACGCTGAGCCAAAACAAAGTGCCTCGCTCATGCTCAGCTTTGTTGCAAATAAAAACAGCGCCAGAAACTCGAGGAACGCGACCAGGACCAGGACGACTACGATTCCAGTGAGGAGCGGCCCGAGCGTGAGGACGAAAAGCCACAGATTGTGGTCATAACGAGTGGGGATCTCACGGCTGACGAGGTGGCCCTCGAGCAGCAGCGCATAGCGAAAGGTATGCACACACACACACACATACACGTGCTGTGTTTTTGTATGTATGTATTTTGTGAGTGTGCATTTGTATGTGTGTATGCGTGTCGGTGTGTGCGTAGGTAGGATGTAGTTATCGTCTGTGGCAGTTTGGCTTTCAGTTCAGTTGAGTCAGAATCGAGCGTCGGTCGCGCGGTCGCTTCCACGCTTCTTACACGCTGCCACTTTCTGCCCTATACTACACTGTGTATGTACATACATATATATATATATATATATATATATCTGTTCGAGTGTGTGTCTGTCTGTCTGTGTTTGTTTCTTTGCGCGCGTGTGTTTGTGTGTTTTTGCAATTGAAATTTTGAAAATTTATATGAAACATAAACAAAATGCAAACGAAATACGCAAAAGTGCAGCTAACCGTACGACAAATAACGCCGCGTTCTACATTTTAAAATTTTGCGGGCATTTCGAAGTGTTTGAAATTTTTTTCAACTCGCTTTTCGATTTCTGTTTGTGGTGTGTGCAAAAATTGTTGTTGCATTTTCCAACAATGCGTTCGTTTTGTTTTTGCTCAATGAAAATTCTTTTTCATGCCCAACTTCAATTCTAACCTCGAAAATGTGTCTTTTTGTGGGAGGGGTAGGGGGAGTTTTAAGTTCTATGTGCCACGCCCGCAACGCACCGCCCACTGCCGTCTCTATGGCAGCAGTTCCAAGTCCCGTTCCAAACGCCCTTTCCTTTGGCTTCGATTATTGCAATTAGTGTGGCACTGCCAGCGGAGCACCCTCATGCACACTAATACACACGCCAGCGTACACACACGCACACATACATATACAGCTGGCGTAAAGCATACACACTGACATTTTCATTGGGGCTCCGCTAAAGCGGAGCATATGATGAAAATCATAGCCAAAGCGGAGCACACGATAAAGCAGCCGGCCAGAGAAGTTAACAAATAACGGCGACCCACAGCCGCCGTCGCCGTCGCTGCCATCACAAAACCAACAACAGCTGCCGCTCTGTTGCTGTTGCCGTCGCCGTCGCCATCGCCATCGTCGTCATCAACCCGCCGCCACCGACACCGCTGCCGCTGCTGCTGTTGCTGTTGCTGCTGCTGTCAGAAGGCCCGCGCAGAAAATCGGGTGAAAACGTGCGAAAGAATGAACGAAGCAGCAAAACGGGAGAGACAATGATGAACGAAACAGGCGAACAAAAAGAGCACGGCAAGTGGCTTGACGACGATATATGTATGTGTGGATGTCTGTGTATGGTCGAAAGGGGGCAGCGTGGTGTGCGGCGGCGGCGGCTGCGGCAGCGGTAGCCACTGTCTTCTGTCTGTCCGGTGGAGCACTGCAAAGCGCTAAAGCTGAGGGGATGAGGAGCTGTGGTGTGTAGGCGGGGGGTGGTGCGGAGGTCGGGACGCTGCGTTGCAAAACTAGGAAAACGCTTGCAACGGGCGAGAAATAAGTAAAATCTTTTCTATCTCATTTGTGGGCGGGCGCTGGCGGAATGGGGCGGGTTTGTTCTTGTTGTGTTGTTGTTGTTGTTATTGCATGTGGGGGCGGTTACAGCAAGGAGTTGTTGGGCACTTGCAGCTGCCCGTTTGGCACAGTTATGTGTTTGACTTCTACAAGAGTCTTATGCTATTTTATGGGCTTTTATTGTTTTGTTTTTGCTAATGACCAAACTCTCGCATTGCAGAAGAAGCTGAAAGGCCCGCGGATTTAAACCAACCCATTGTATTTAAACAGCGCGTCAAGCAGCCCAAAATCGAGTCGGAGGAAAAAGCTGAGAAATCCCCCAAAGCAAAGGATAAGCGCAAAAAGTCTAAGCCGAGCAGCAAATTGTCATTCAACGAGGACGAGGAGGACGCCGAAGCAGTCGAGGATTGAAGCATATAAAGTATCTATTACCAATTCCGCCAATTCGATTTGCTGTATCTTCAACCAGGCAGCCTCTTTGTATGGTTGTCCCCAGTGAATGGTTAGGTGAGCGCTTAAATCTTGCACACATATGTATACACTCGTACATACATATACATACGTACGTACATACACATACATTCAAATATAAGTAAAAACTAAACTGCGCACTTAAAATTTGCCTATAAAATACGTTACGCATACATACATATATGTAAGTATGTTTGTGCGTGTACTTCATATGTATGTGTGTGTGTACATGTATATGTATATGTACATGTATATGTATATGTAATGTATCGATTAACGTGGTTAAGTTGTTTTCTATAAGCTCATTATTGGGAATTTTAACTCTTGTTTTGATATAATTTATAATGTTTTTTTATCAATTATTTATTTGAGCTTGGTAATTGAAATACTTAAAACTCGAATTCTCAAATTAGAGTGAAAGCTCCCTAAATGGACGGAACTGTACAAAAACTGGAACTTGACAATGTAACTAGAAACAAATGAAAAATCCAATTAGCATAAATATTTTTAAACAGTTATCAGTTTTTATGAGCAACAACTTTCAATGGGTCCAATCTGGGTTTATTATATTTATGTTTGAAGAGATCTTTTAACTCTTAGCTCGGTCCCAGTTTTCAAGAAAATCTTAAGCTTAGATTGGGCTGATCCAACATTTACTTAATTTATATAGAATCTAAATCTTAACTTCAAATCTAGTCGCACACACTTTTGATTCGTCATTATTCGCGAAAAAATGGCAAAACGCATAAATTAATCATATTTTTCTACGAAATATGATACGGCCTGCCAATATAGGAGAAAATATATTTATATGCATTCATGTACCTTCATAATACATATGTGATAAATAATATACATATATGTATGTATATTCATCAAACAAATGTATGCCCAATTATGTACATGCAATAATTATTTCCAAATACAAATTTACATGAAGTTGTATTTCAACACAAATCGCATCCTTAAAGATAATTTCGAATCGTCGATAACTGTGGAAACTTTTTATATAGTATAATTAACTTTTTAATAGTTGAGTTATTTACTCTCATATATAATTTGATATAATTAATACTTCAGTAATTGGCTTTCATAGCAATATATTTTAAAACTGGGCCTAATAACTCAACTTTCAATAATAATTCTTGCTTTCAAGCCGATTAAATTGATCTTTCTTTGATTGTCCGGATACTTCTCACATTATATGCTCATATAAACACAAATTGTAATAATTGAAAATCGCTCAACTTTCTGGTAAAAGAAATTACAACAAAGCAAATGACACGTACTTATCATTTTACAGCGTAAGGTTATTGTTACAAAGGTCACAGTAGTCGGGGCCTCTTAAATGTTATCAAACTAACATTATGACTTTGACCTTCAGCTGGGACATTTAGATTTGCCTCAGATTTGAACCTGGATTCCCGTAGTTCATTTTTCTTACTATCAACTCTTTTGTGGCTTAAAAGGAAATATAATGAAAATTCTATCTTCAAGTTAATCGCTCTAAGTCCAAGTCCTTTGGATAAATGGACGAGTTTAATGCAATATATTGACACAATTTGATTTACAAATGTTTTAACAATGCTCGGTTTTCAATAGTAAATGTCCTTTACAAAATCTGTCGACAATTAGCTAAAATATCTGCAAGGTTCTTTTCTCAGAAATTGTATCTAAAATTCGCTTGACAACCGGCGACGCACACACACACACTCACACACACAAGAGAAAAGGTCACGTGTATGTATAACATAAAGTTTTGTTATCGTTTCATAATATACATATGTATGTATGTATCATTATACCGATAGTTGGTGGTTCTTAATGAATCCCGTGGCGGCGGTAGGCGAATGCTAACTTCTACCAGTTGCCGATCAACGGGGGTGAGAAGCGGGTTACTTTCAAATTTGTACTTGCATATAGACCAAATCAGACCCACACACATAGATATACATACATATACACATGCATACATACACACGCACGCACACATGCAGGCAAACATCGCATTCAGCTTACATACGTACATACATATACATAGACATACTTATATAAGTATACATACATATGTCTGTATGTATGGATGTGTACGTATTATATTGGCCCATAGCATGCGAGAGCGATAGAGAGAGTGGGTGAGAGCGAGAGAGCAGTAGCGTAATCTGAAATAAGTTGGGAAAGAAGAAGAAGAAGCATCAGCAGCGCCAGCAGAAGTATCGTGATGAGTATACAGTTTTAAAACTTACAGACGGGGCAATCGTCGCTTTGCCTATGCTTACACTTGATATATGTATGTATACATGTGTGTGTGTGTCAGTTTGGAGAAGCGCTCAATGTTGGCCTGGTTTAGAGTTGTAACTTATCATTGACAGTCATAAGCAGCATTATCAACCGACTGTTATCCGATTGCGCGCGCTATTTTCAAATTTTTGCGCGTCGCAGATACCCATGCAAAAAAAAATCCATCAAACACGCCGGCAACTGCGTCGACATATACGTAAAACGACAACACAGGCAGCAATGCCGTTTCATTTTTGTTTTGTTCATTTCGTTCGTACGCGCGGTACAATTGTCAAATTTGTTTTTCCCTCCCATCCATCCATTCACATGGGCGCGCTCCAATACTACGGCAGTAACGAACACACACGCACCCATACAATTTCGCAGTGACAACGATTCGCTTGCGCTTCACATTGCCATTCGCTATTTTTGAGCGTAACACCTCTGACCAGTTCTCTCTGGTCGCTCTCTTGAAGCGCCATATGCACGTTGCCAAAATTGGCGCCCAGTCGATAAAAATGACTTGTAGATCATTGTGTGTTGCTAGTTATCTGAAAGGTATAGACTTTAGTTGTAGTTTAATATAATTGATTTACAGCTGCACCAGTTGCAATATGCAATAAATACTAATTGCCATTTAATCGATTGTTCGATAAATTTGGCGCGCGCCGTTTTTCGGGTACACATGCAACCCTGCTTGCCGGGCTGCCGCCCATGCAACTCTGTGTTTGTAGCGACGTTTTACGCTTTTTTCCGCTTCCATTTCCAGTTTGCCTTGTTGTTGCCCCCGTCTATCGTCCGTTTGTCGCGCTTTGGCATAGCGTTCTTTTTTTTCGCTTTCTGTATGTGTGTGTGCTCCACAATCAAGAAAAAAATTGTTGTGCGTTCGGCAAAAAAGATCCTTTATTTTTTTTGTATTTGTTTATCATACTGATTATCATTTTTAATTGCCACAATAACAACAACCTGCCACTGCCATTAAAGTGTGACGTAAAATGTAAATTGTAAGTTTGTGTGATTCTCTATATGTTTGAATTTGTGTTTGTTATTGTGGTTGAAGAGCGGCTGTTGTGCAAAAATTAAGGAATTTGGAATTGCCTATTTGCAACTTGCCTAAAAAATATTGTTCACACCATAAAGACACTAATACGCGCACGCATACACCAACACGGCGACACACACACACACACATTCATACACAAGCGCAAAACACGCTCCTGTACCCACCCGTACTCCACTTCACGCCGCCGCCGCTAGCTACAGCCACAGCAGCAGCGAGCCACAGCCAACCAACAACCAACACCACAGAGCCAAAGCCAACGTCGTCGTCATCGTCGTCGTCGTCTCACCGGCCGTCTGTCCGTTCGTTTGTCTGTTTGTCCGTCCCAGCGTCTGCGTGTCCGTTTGTATCTACATACATACATATATAATTATATATGTATGTGTGTGTGTGTATGTATATATATAGATTGTACATGCATGTTGTGTGTGTGTGTGCTCGTTTTGTTGGTCGCTTTGTATGTATGTAGGTGTGTGTTGTCTGTTTGTATGTCAATCGTGCAGTTGCTGTGTGCTCGGTAACTGCTCGTCTGTATGTATGTAACAATATATATGTAAATATATATATATAAAAATTTATGTATATATAAACAAGTATATATGTTTGTTTATGCAACGCAATATATACCTATATCTGTATATATTTACATACTTACATGGCTATGTACATATATAAATACATTGTAACATGCCTTGCAGAATTACGTTTTTATGTTATTACATACACATATGTACATAATTACATACATACTTAGATGGTATACATAACTGCCTGCAATAAAACACTCGTACAATGATGTACATCTGTCGATATACATTAATATATATATATATATATATATATATTTATTTACATACATACATTTTAAATTGTATTTTAGTTTTAATCCAATATGGCAGCCATTTTGTCTCAATTAACTCTTTTTTGGTTTTTGCTGCCCCCTTTGTTAGGGGGGGGTGGGGTGTTGGCAGGTGAAGTGTAGAGGGAGGGCGGGTTTAATTCACCTAGATTTCAATTTTCTTTGCTTAATAGTTTTTTTTTTGTATTTTTGGCAATTGTTGTTTTTTGTGCTCTATTTGATTAATTTTCTGCAAGTTTGCGCATTTTTTCCAATTCTTCTTTGCCTTGCTCTTTCGTTGATATTCACGCTTTGTTTTTCTTTCCTATGTGCCCAATATTTCCCAGTTAACTTTGGGTAAAGCTGTAAAATTTATGAGACATCGATTTACAACAAACGAGGAAATTAATCAAAAGTTGTTTATCGATCTCCTTTTGGCAGGCATCCTCGAGAACAGCAGCGACATTTATCGACCAAGAGGCACATTCCAAAAACAACAGAACAAAACAACAAATGACTGAAGTCGACGTCGTCTTGCCGGAGGGCGTTGCCGAGCCCACAACCAAACTACTTGCCAAAGCAGAAGCAGCGACGACGGCAGCAAACGAAGACGACGACGACAACAGCAGCAGCAGCGCAGCAGAGCCGCAAAATGAACAGAAGACCAACTCCAAAACAGACTTAGAGCAAAAGGAAGAGCGGCAGCAGAAGCTAAAGCCCGTCAAGGACAAGCAAGTGGATGCACTGATAGCCGACAAGCTGCTCCTGGATAGCAATAGCAATAGCAACAGCACCAGCAACGATGATAGCAAGCTTGACGGCGATGCATCTAAGCCGGCGGTTGAGTCCATGGACGTGGATGACACCGAGGAGGGCGACTCACAGATAACCAGCTCCAGTTCCACAGAGAATGGCAATAGCAAAGAGCCAAAGCTGGATGAAGACGAAGATGAGGAAGAGGAGGAGGAGGAGGTGACCACCAACGGTGATCATGAGGAAGCTGAGGATGAAAAAATTGGCAGCACTGCTGAAAACAGTTGCGATGCCGAAGATCCGCTTGGCGCAGCCACAGAGCCCGCCGCGGAACAAGAGGAGGAAGAGCTAGTGGAAGAGAAGAAAAGCATTGAAGATGCGGACGATCTGGAAGAGGAGGAGGAAGCGGAGGCAGAAGAGGAGGGCAGCCAGCAAAGCGGTACAGCCAAAACAGTAACCGACTCGGAAGCAGAAGCTATGCACACAGAGGAGGATGAAGTGGACGAGAAGAAAGAGACACCACTAAATGGCTTCACGCAAAGCCCAAAGGGTAAAGAAGCTGCTGCAGCAGCAGCTGCTGCTGCCAAGCCCAACGGACAGGCAACCGCAGCTGAAACTCGGAAAAGCAATGACAACAACGACGAAGATGACGCCGGTGGCGTCGTTAATCTGGACGAGGACAGTGATGAGGAAATGGCCGATTTGACTGACCGAAAGGCGCCTCCAGCCGCTGCGTCCAAGCCACGAACAACGCCCAGCAAGGCAAAGCCCGTGCCAGCAGCAGCGGTTGCCTCAAGCGGCGCTGAATCCTCAGACGATGCGGTGCTCATTGCCTCCGATTCGGAGTCGGAAACGGGACAAACAGCAGCGCTGCCGCCGCCAAGCAAGAAATTGGCGCCCGTTGTGAAGGCAACACCAGCACCGCCACCACCAGCGCCCGAGCAGGACGACGACGATGACGATGATGACTGTGTGGTCATTGAGGATGATACGCCGCCAAGTATTTCGCCTAGCGATCAGGCACTCAACAAGCGCAAAAGCGAACTGGACGACATGCAGCCGAACAGCAAGCGACAACGCAGCTCCACGCCCTCCGGTCTGGGTGGAGGTGCTGGGATCGGCCTGGGCCAGTTGACCATTAAGGATGCGCGCACCCTAATGCCGCACGAAGCGGGGCCAACGGGACCAGGCGGCTCGGCCATTTATCCGGTGACCATTACCAATGCCGTAACCGGCGTGGCCACAAATCTAGGCAATGCGCCGCCCAAGCTGGTGCCCATGGCGGGTGTGGCAGGAGTTGGTGGCACAGTGCAGCTGACACCGTCCACGCTCTCGCTGACTGCCGCCGGACTGCCCAGCATGACGAACAACGCGAACCTGCTGCCAGGCCTAACAGACGATATGTTTGTGCTGGAGGCGCCCTCGTTTATTGTGCCCTACATATACGAGAAGCCGCCCAACGACAACATACGCGAGATCATCAAGGCCATAGAGGCAAAGTATGCGCTTTCGCCCGAAGACTTGGCTGTGGCGGACAAAGTGGACGAGTTCGACATGATGACCGAGCAGAACAAGGACAAAAACAGCGCAGACGGCCCGAATGCGGGCAAAAAGAAAAAGAAGCAGGGCGACGATGAATCCTGGTCCGAGCAGTCCGATGAGGATGACGACGAGGACGATGACGATGACTCCGAGACGGGTGTGCGCACCAAGGTGCTAATCAAAGAGGCCAACGATGATCTGACCGCACTCAAGGGTGCCATTAAACCCGCCGCTGCTTTGGCCGCCTCCGGTGGTGTTGCCTCCACCACCGCCGCCAAGCCCGGCCAGGAGAACTACTTTGAGAGTCCACTGGGTAAATTCTTTATGGACATTGGTGTTGGCCTCGTGCAGGAGTATGTCCAGGCTGATTTGTTGCGCTTGCAGAAGCGCAAGATGCGCAAATCCCTGTCGCGAGATCCCAAGGACTTTGAGATGGCCATCAACGCGTTGAGCGGCAATCTGCAGGCATCGAAGACGAAAAATGCTCCATTCAAGTTCACGATGAAACGCTGCGAGTTCTGCAATTTCAAATCCGAGTCCGCGCTGTCCATGGCGAATCATTACGAGACGCCGCACATGAACGGAGTCCTGTACAAGTGCAACTTTTGCACGTTCGAGATACGCAACGCCACAGAAATCGTTTACCACATGGAGGCGGTCCACAATATCAAGGCGCGCCTGATCAAGCCGCTGCCGTATCATCAGTGCCCGAACTGCGGCTTTGAGGATAATGGCAAGGCGAAATTGGCCCGCCATCAGCCTGTCTGCGCCAAGAAGTTCCGGCCGGAACTGAATCTGGCGCCGCCCAACGACTGGGAAGCGCCCGCCAAAATACCGCGAATCAAGCCGCGCCACGGACTTGTCGGCACAGCCACCGCCTATCAGGTAAGCTACATATAATTAATCCCATCAAATGACAAACACTAAACATCTGCTCTTTCCAGGCCATGGCAGCGCAGGCGGCGGCGCAGAAGGCAGCGCTGGCGACTATACAACAACAACAGGCCGCGGCACAGGCACGCAACCTGCAGGCGGCAGCGCTTGCGGCACAAAACGCGGCGAAGATGCGACAGCGAGCACCGCAGATGCCCAAGGCAATGCCCAATGCCAACAGCATGGTCAGGAATCCTGCGCCCGTACGCGGTGCCATTGGCGCCGGTAATGCGGCTCTCTCGTTGCCGAACAGCTACCAACTGGCCGCCGGACAGCTTGTGCAGGTCAGTTCGCGAACGCATGAACTGTGCATAATTTCGCATATCTAACGAAATGAATGTATTCCAAATTGCAGCAAGCATCCAAGAAGCCAATTGCGGGTCAGCCGAGCATCTCAATAACGCCACTACCTCGACAAAGTGCCGCTGGCAACAATGCGTCCGCTGCCTCGTCCAGCAAAGTGCAAACGACGGCGGCGGCTGGCATGAAGCCCGGCCAGAGCCCCAGCGGCGGCAACAACAAGGCGCAGTTTGTCATCTGCGAGATATGCGATGGCTATATCAAGGATCTAGAGCAGCTGCGCAATCACATGCAGTGGATGCACAAAGTGAAGGTAGAGTGGGCAACTTGCACAAATGCCTGTCTGCATTTTTTTACCTTTTGTTCTTTTTGCAGATACATCCCAAGATGATCTACAATCGTCCACCATTGAATTGCCAGAAGTGCCAGTTCCGCTTCTTCACGGATCAGGGCCTGGAAAGGCATTTGCTGGGCTCACACGGCTTGGTCACCAGCTCTATGCAGGAGGCGGCCAACAAGGGCAAAGATGCCGGTCGTTGTCCTGTCTGTGGCAGGGTAGGTTTTGTAAATTATACTAAATTGTTAAACTCGTTTTAAACAAAATTGTAATTGATTTGTAGATGTACCAATGGAAGCTACTGAATCACGTATCGCGCGATCATCATATGACCCTGAAGCCCGCACATTTATCCTACAAGTGCACCGTCTGCACGGCCACCTTTGGCATGTACAAACAGTTTGAGACGCATGTGTATACTGCGCACAGCACTGTGGCCAGAAAGGCAATGGATAGCAAGAAAAATAGCGCACAGTCCAGTGGCGGCAGCGGTGGCGCGGGCAGTGGTGGCGGTGCAGGCATGACGCGTAATTCACTGGGCGCCGCCAATGAATCCCTGCTGAAGCCGCTGAAGATCAACGATGAGATCACGATCATACCACAGCCCGCATCGAAGCCACGCATCACAAATATGGAGAGTCATGTCATAGGCAAGTCGAAGACGAAGCGAACCACCAAACATATCAGCTAAATAAATACCCTATTTGCAGATTAAGCGGCGCATTGGATGAACCAAAAAACAAAAAAGAATTAAAAGAAAAAACAAACCTAATCTCGCATAGATTTTGCTGCAGCATTTTGGCCGCTGGCGCGTTAAGATTAGTTTTTATTTGATTTTAAGGCTGCGCCGAGGCGATCGTCTAAATATATCTATGATTTGTTAGTAAGCCAGAACTGTATAAAGCGAGCGGAAAGGGAATTTTAGTAAAACCACAAAGCAACCTAAACCTAAATATACGTCGATCATTAAGAGAAAAAGTTACCGCTTAACAGACACAGACACAGATACAGATACACACCCATACACTTATGATTAATCAGATACACACACACACACATATACGGATATAGATACAGATTTCAGATTCTAGTTACGGTTTAGTTGATATATATGTACGTTGGAGTGTGCACATAAGTTGAAATTGTAGCTACTACTAATAAACACAATTACCATACCATGCATAATTTACACACATATACATATAAGTACACACACACACCCACATACACACATATATATATATATATTTTAAAAGAAGCCGCTAGAGCGCATCGTCTACATGACTATGTAAATTAGTTAAAAACTAAATATTATTTATATTATATACGAATACAAGTATCTAAATGTGCGTTGCAGTATGTACATATTAATACACACACACACACAGACACGAACACCAAGACGCCATGGCAAATCGAAATTGATATCGATATACGTGGCTATCGCTTATCGATGAGACGTGCGATTATTACGTAAAGTTGGCACGCGCAATGTTTATGGCATTCAGCATGTGAGGTATTGTTGTGGGGCGGGGGGCGGGTTAGCTCCCAAGGCTTTGCGGGTACGGGAGGAGGGGGACAATCGATAATTGCGATTCGGGGTGGGTTCTCTTATCTGATCTGAGACGTTCAACAATTTTAATTTGCGTGTACAAGTTTAAACTTATATTTATATATATATATAACATTATATCTATTAATATAAAATATATCATCTACTAGTGCGTAAGAACCCATGTACTACAGTTAAAAAAAAAAGAAAACTAAAATAA